GATGAGGACTCAGAGGCCTCCAGTCTGAGGAGACAAGACCAGCTGAGGATCCGGCGAGGTGAGATAGCTGTGGCTTGTTCTGTCTCTCTGATCTACCAGCATGGACCCCAATAACTCGCCTCAGGTTTGATTTTATTAATAAGAACTTTGAAGAATCCTGCTACAAGAAGCTTCCCAAAACATATACATATAAAGAAGACAATCTAATAAAATCACCAAATAATGGATGAGACAGAGTCACAACTGGGTATCTCTTGTCACCACATGAAGCTTCCAGTACCAGGACTGGGTTATATCTAATTGAGTTGTTGGCCAAAGGGATCCCATGGGAACCCCCAAATAACCCAGGCTGTCACCAATACAAAAGGTTGCTCTTTGCAAACTGACAATAGGCCTCATAGCTGAAGAAAACACCTACACAACTCATTGAACTTGGAGTTGTTGAGCTGGTGCCTACATAGAGCCTTCACCCCTACATTCCAATGTCTTTGGTACAGACATGCTCTAAAAAGACAAACACTAGCACCAATCCAGGACAAACCCTCTACTACAATGGGGTACTGCCTGTAAGATATGCTAGGGCAGTGGTAGTATAAAGCTCGTGGGAGTAACCAAACAATACCTGATTTGATTTAAGATGGAACCCATATCTGACACTGCTTGGGTGACAACCTGAGACTAGATAGCCCAGGGACCTAGGGTAAAACCAAATACTACTGTTTTAAAACAAACAAACAAACAAACAAACAAACAAACAAACAAACAAGAAAGTATAGGAATAAAATGACTCCTAATGATATTCTGCTATACTCAGATCAGTACCTTGTTCAGCTATCATTAGAGAAGCTTCTTCTTGCAGCAAGTGGGAACAAATACAGCGACCCATAGCCAGAATCATGTAGAGAATGAGAGACCTTGGAACACTCAGCCCTAAATAGAATGTCTCCATCAAATCCCTCCCCTCAGGACTCAGGGAACCCTTGGGAAGAGGAGGCAGAAGTGTAAGAGCCAGTGGGGATGGAGGACACCAAGGAAACAAGGCCCTATAAATCAACAAGACTAATGCACATATAAATTCAGAGATTGAGGCAGCATGCACAGGACCTGCACAGGTCTGCATCAGATGGAGTCCTAGAGCTTTAAGGAGAAGTAGACACATGTTCCCACCCCTAACCCAGAAGCATTCTCAAATTGATAACTACTTGCAAATGAAGATTTAGTTTTTAGAGAGTCTCAATGGGGGAACTAACTACTCTTAAGGTTAGGCTGCAAGCCCTGAAAATGAATTCAACACATATTTCATAATGTCGTGTCAGGGTTCACTTTCTTTTTAAAATTTTATCTTATTTTTCATTTTATTTTATTTAATATTTATGCATATATTTTTCTTCTTATCTTACAGGTCCTTTGCATATATATTATGGCTTCTGGCTTAATATTTTTATAGGATGCTTAAGTGTGTGAAAGAGTGGGTCTCTACAGTTATATGTTTTTTTTGTGCCTTTTGTGGGGGGCTCCTTTCCTTCTGTTTGTTTATGTTGTCCTGTTATGATGTGTTAGGGTTTTTTTTTTAATTTTTTACTTTATTTTATTATTATCCTTTAGAAGTCTATTTGTTTTCTAATGAAAGACAGAAAGAGTGTGGATCTGGATGGAAGAGGAGGTGGGGAGGAACTGGGAGAAGTAGAGGGAGGGGAAACCATTATCAGGATATATATTATGTGAGAAAAATATACATTTTCAATGAAAGGAACCCCCCCATACACAAACAAACTAGGGGGGTTGGTGAGATGGCTCAGTAAGTAAAGGTGCTTGACAACCTAAGTTTTGATTTTTGTTTTTCGAGACAGGGTTTCTCTGTATAGCTTTGCGCCTTTCCTGGATCTCGCTCTGTAGACCAAGCTGCCCTCGAACTCACAGAGATCCACCTGCCTCTGCCTCCTGAGTGCTGGGATTAAAGGCATGCACCACCACTGCCCAGCGACAACCTAAGTTTGATGCCCAGGACCCAAATGGTAGAGAGAGAGAAAACCCCATTTCTACAGGGTGACCCCTGACCTCCACTCACATGCCATGGCATGCTCATGTACATGTACTCTCTCTCTCTCTCTCTCTCTCTCTCTCTCACACACACACACACACACACACTTTCTCTCACACTCTCTCTCTGTGACACACACTCTCTCTCACATACACACACACCCTCTCTCTCCTCACATACACGCATCCTCTCTCTCACACACACTCTCTCCCTCACACACATACACTCACACACACACTCTCTTTCACATACACATACATACTCTCACACACACATATACTCTCTCACACTCTCTCTCACACAAACTCTCTCTCACACACATGCACACTCTCACACACACACATATACTCTCTCACATACACTCACACCCTCTCTCTCTCTCTCTCTCTCTCTCTCTCTCACACACACACACACACACACACGTGCGCGCGCGCGCACACACACCCACGCACACACACCCACGCACATTCTCACACACACATATACTCTCCCACATACACTCACACCTTCTCTCTCTCTCTCTCACACACACACACACATTCTCACACACACATACTCTCTCACATACACTCACACACCCTCTCTCTCTCTCTCACACACACACACACACACATATACTCTCTCACATACACTCACACCCTCTCACACACATGCACACTCACACACATGTACTCTCTCACACTCTCACACACACACCCTCTCTCTCCTCATATACATGCATCCCCTCTCTCACACACACTTTCTCTCTCCCTCACACACATACACTCACTCACACACTCTCTTTCTCACACATACACTCTCTCACATACACACACATTCTCTCACACACACATCCTCCCTCTCATACACACACATATGCACACTCTCTCACACATATGCACACTCACACACACATACTCTCTCACACACACACACACACACTCTCTCACATACACACACCCCTCTCTCTCACATACACATACACCCACACACACACACACACACACACACACACACGCACTTTCTCACACATGCACACTCTCACATACACACACACTCATTCACTCTCTTTCTCACACACACACTCTTTCACATACACACGCTCTCTCTCACAAACACACAACTCTCTCTCACACACGCATGCACTAAAATATATGTCATAAAAACATTTTAAAAGTAGGATCTCTATCATATAAGGCCTAGAATGCAGTCAGGTAAACTTAATCCTTAGTTAATTTAATTATTTCCCCTTTTCTTACACATGATATTTTAACCCCTCACCTTCATTATTGTGTCCCAACCACATCACTACCATGAACATCTTAAGTTCTTACTGACCTTTACCTTACTTTTTTTTTTTTTTAACTTTTTCAGTGTGTATGTGTATGTATGTGTTTGTACATGCATGTCCACACCTGTGTGGGCATATATGCTTGTAGAAGGCCCAAAGCATCATGATGCTGGGGTTTTCCTCAATCTCTCTTCATTCTATTCACCAAGGCAAATTAAACCCAGAGCTGGCCGATGAGTCTAGAGTCTAGCCAGTCACCTCCCTCCAGGGATGCCCCCTGTCTCTGCTTTCTAAGAGTTGGGAGTAGAGGAAGGCTGCCAGTGCCAGTTGGCATTTACATGGCTTCTGGGGATCCAAATCCCAGTACATGTGCTGGCAGCTTGTATGGCAAGTGCATTCATTGCTCAAGCATTTCCCTAGCCCTACCTTGCTTTTCATTTAAGCTCCGTACCGAACGTATACATCAAGTACTAAAAATAAAACAATCACAGGTTTTTCCCCACTCAAAAACAACAAACAACAACAAACAACCATCATATGAAAGTTCACTGAAATAAATGCTTACTTGAAATGGCTGGTTTAGAACTTGATATCTCTCCAACAAAGATCAATTCATCATCATCATCTTTATTCTGAACTTCTTCTACTTTCTGCTGCCATGGTTCCAACTCTTCTTCTTCACATTCCATGAAAAGTTCTGCCATTTTTGAATTATCTAATTTCCAAAAGGAGAGAAACAACCCTTATTTTCAAAAGGGAAAATACTTTTTTGTAATAGGAAGTATGCTAATTAAAGATAAACTTTAATAATCCTAAAGGAAACTACTGAATAACTGAATAACTACATAGCATATATCGTAGCAAGAATAAATGGAGAAAACAATCTGTCATATCTAAACTAGGAGCTCAGTGTAGTGGTGTAGCCCTGCCACTGTACCTACCCTTCATTCAGGAGGTTGTAGTTAACAAGATGGCCAGCCTGCTCTACACAATGAAGCCCTGCCGAAAAACAAAGCTAGTACAAAATGGCTAAGCAGCTAGAAGACTGGGGACAGCAGGTGAGTTGCAGGCGCCAAAATTTTCTTTTTGAGATGTTTGCTTTGCATATATAGATGTTTTGTTTGCATGTATGTCCGTGCACCACATGTATGTGATACCTGCAAAAGCTAGAAGAGGTGAGATCATCTGGAACTGGAGTTTTTTTGGCAGGCATGTGGGTTCTGGGAAACAAAGTGGGGTCTTCTGGAAGAACAACCAGTGCTCTTAACTGATAAGCCATCTCTCTAGCCCAAGGTGGCCAAAAATTTAAGATTAAATCCAATCAAACTAAGTTCATGATACATGACTAGGATATGATTATACATACAAGAAGGATATATAATCATTACCTGAAACAAAAACCCACCACTTGTATTTTTAAAAGGGATATAAAGCAAGAATAAGAGGCAATTAGATTGGAAGAAGGAAAATAATGCATCAGATTCAGAGATATTAGGGTATAGAACAACGAAAAATGAGCTACTAGGATGAAAACAGGGAAAATGGAGAAGTTTATTCTACTCCAGGCTAGAGTAGACATTTCTCATCTCAAGAAATTAAACAAAGGATGTACTGCAAATACTACCAGTTCTGCATAATCACACAGCTCATAACAAACATTTTAGTGCCTCCCTCCTTTGGGGTTGTTGTTTTGGTTGTTTTGCTTCTGTGGTAGGGATTTTCTATGTAATTTGGGCTGTCCTGTCCTGGAAGTCATTATGGAGCCTCAGACTGGCCCCAAACTCAACTGTCCTGCCTCAGCCTGAGTGCCAGGATTCCAAGTATGTGCTGTCCTGCCAGCTCAGTGCCACATTCTTAAAATATGGAGATGAGCTAGGCATGGTAGTGTACACCTTTAGTCCCAGCACTCAGGAGGCAGGGGCAGGTGGATCTTTTTGAGTTCAAGGCAAATCTGGTCTACACAGTGAGTTCCAGGCTAGCCAAGGACCTGTCTCAAAACAACAACAACAACAACAACAACAACAAAAAAAATGTCTGGAGAGACGCCTCAGCAGTTAAGAGCACTTGCTGCTCTTGCAAGAGGACCTGGGTTCATATCTCACCATTGACATTGGGGCTCACAACTACTTGTAACTCCAGTTTCAGGGGATTTGACCCCCTCTTTTGATCTCTGAGAGCACAAGGCAAGTACATGGTGCCCATACATACATGCAGGCAAAACACTCATGAAGCAAAATAAATAGATAAATCTTTAAAAATCTATTAAGAAAAAAATAACAAAAATGGATATGGATAACTAACTAATAAGCACCAAAAATTTTAGGAAAGCTTCTAATGTGAAAGACCGAAGCAATAAAACAAATTAGAAGACTGTGAAAAAAACAGATAATACACATGGGAGGAGAAAATATTAAAGACTACATAATGAGAATCTTCTAGAGATTTGACAAAATTTAATAAATAGGGGCTGGAAAGGTGGCTCAGTGGGTAAAGGTGCCTACTGCCCCAGGCTGATGACCTGAGTTCAGTTCTCTGATCCCATATAAAACAGTGGAAGGTAAAAGAACTCACAAAAGGTATCCTCTGACCTCCACATGTGTGTTATGACATGTGTGCACACACACAATATACACACACCAATAATAAAATTAAATTTAAGCATAGAAACAATAACATTCAGAAAATGATTAAAAAATAAACCAGGTGACATTAACTAAATGTATCCTAAAAGTAAAAGTTGAGTATATGTGGAACTGAAACACACACACACACACACACACACACACACACACACACACACACACACAATAAGTAAGTAAGTAAGTAAGTAAATAAATAAATAAATAAAATGCCTCAGCCTCCCAAATGCTAGAGTTACAGGCATATGCCCCCATGCTCAGCTAGAAACAGAAATACAATTTTTAAATGTACAAATTCATCTAATGAAAACTCCAAAAAAACAAAAAAACAAAAACAAAAACGAATAAAAAAAAAAAAAGGCCAGGGATGTCTCTCGGCTGATAGAGTACTTGTCCAGTATGTACAAAGCCCTGGATTCAATTCCTAGCACCATATAAACCAAGCATGGCAGCACACATCTGCAACAATCTCAGTATTGTAGAGATGAGACAGAAAGGTCAGCAGTTTAAGATCATCCTCAGTGTTTCGTGAACATTTTTTCCTGAACAAAAACATGTATGCACCCAGACAAGGTGTCCACTCACTCCAGACAGGGAACCAATGGAACGCAAGTGTAATTTGGTGAGCCAATGAAGTTTTTTAAAATTAGCATACAAAATATTAGATAGCAGTACTACTGTGTTTTTTCAAACTATGTGTATTTAAGTAGACTCTCACCCCTCCCAATTTTCCCAATTACCCTGCGACCCCTGCCCAGCCACCACCCCCCATTTTCCTCTTATGTTTTATACATCCTTTTGCACACTCTCCTCTCCCCATCTCCTTCTTCATCACCTATTTAACCCTCTCAGTCTCCTTGGCTGGCCTAGCAGTGGCTATGTAGATCAGGCTGGTCTTGAACTCAATCCACCTTCCTCTGCCTCTGCCTATGGAGCAGTGGGATCAAAGGCACATGCATCTGGCCTCTAGAGTTTTTTTAGTTGGGGGTTATTTACAAGCTCGTGAGCAACTTATGGAGGGTGGCTTCACCACTGAAGAACAAGACTCTGCACCTAGCAAGCAGTCTCTTGAGGCCCCTCCCCTCATGCAAAAGCTTTCTGTCTGTTTGGAGACAGGCATGAACCCTTCCCCCAGAAACAACTGCCTGTAAGTCTTGAAGAGCGTTGGGGCCCCTGAACCTGTTCCCCTATTAATTGTTTACAAATCTTGGCCAGATCTATGGCCTCTGAAGCTCATTCCCCTAGTACTTATTGTCTAGAACACCATCAAGCCCTCTTCTTGCCAAGCTGAACTGTGCAACTGTTAACAGTCTAGAATTCCTTGGGGCGGGGCGGGGCCTCAGGAGCCCTCCTCTTAGCCCCTCCCTTGTCAACTTCTTTGTTTTACACTTATTTGTGAGGGCATCACTCAGTAGTAGAGGTTGGTTCTCTCCTTCCACCATGTGGGTCCCAGGGACTGAACTCAGGTCATCAGGCCTGGTCCCACTGAGACATCTCTCGTTCTCAGTCCCATCAATATTTAATTGCCTACAAATCCTTGGGGGAGGAAGAGGCCTTATGAGCTCCTCTCCCTAGCATCTTTCTGCCTATAAAACTTTGGGGAAGGATGTGGCCTCACAAGCCCCTCCTTTATTTTATTTATTTTTGTTTTTTTGTTTTTTTTTTTTTGTTTTTTCGAGACAGGGTTTCTCTGTGTAGCTTTGCGCCTTTTCCTGGAGCTCACTTGGTAGCCCAGGCTGGCCTCGAACTCACAGAGATCCACCTGCCTCTGCCTCCCGAGTGCTGGGATTAAAGGCGTGCGCCACCAACGCCCGGCGCCCCCTCCTTTAGTAACTGTTAGCTGTCTATAAATCCTTGGGGTCGGAGGTGGGTCATAAGCCCCTTTCCCATTCTGTGAAGAAAAGTTAATGGATCCAGTTCTGTGGGGGTCTCCTTCAGGAAATCATAGTGGATGACAGTTCAAGAAGGTGAAGGCTATTTGTCATTCCTAGAGAACACAGTGTTCCATAACACTTGGCTAATTGTGGTAAAGTTACAGTCTAGCCTGGAATACATGAGACCCTGGTTTAAAAAAAAGAGGGCATGCAAGATGGCTCAGTAGATGAGGATGCCCATCACCAAGCCTGACCACCTGAATTTGAGTACCAGTACCCCACATTGTAGGAGAGAAATGACTCTGACCAATTGTCCTCTCACCTTATATGCTACATGCCTGCACACACACACACACACACACACACACACACACACACAATGAGAGGAAATAGAGGGCGATCAGAGGAAAGTGCTCAGTGGATACAGTACTTACTGTATAAGCATATGGATCAAAGTTCAGATCCCAGAGCCCACAAAAAAGCTGGGCAGATGACCTGGACAGATGGTTCATCAGTTGTTGACTCCCCATGGGAGACCTTACCCTTTTGGAGGAGTGGCTAGTGGGGGAGGTGGAGGGAGTAACAGGAGGAGGGATGGGGAGGGGGAACTGTGGTTGGTATGTAGAATGAAATGTTTAAAAAAAGAAATACATAAAAAAGAAAAAATTAAAAAAAAAATTTTGAATTTTTTTTTTCAGCTGGGAGGTGGTGGCACATGCCTTTAATCCCAGCACTCCTGAGGCAGAAGCAGGCAGCTACATAGTGAGTTATAGGACAGCTAGGACTATATAGAGAAACCCTGCCTCCTAAATTTATTTATTTATCCGCGTATTCATTCATTCATTCATTCTGGGATAGGGTTTCTCTGTGTAGCAGCTCTGGCTTTCCTGGCGCACTATAGAGCAGGCTGGCCTCAAATTCAGAAATCTGCCTGCCTCTGCCTTCAGAGTGCTGAGATTAAAAGCGTGCATCACCACCGCCTGGCTAAACTATTTATTTATTTTTATTATAATTACATCATTTCCCTCTTCCCTTTTCTCCCTCTAAACCCTCCTATATATTCTTCCTTGCTCTCTTTCAGATTCATGGCCTCTTTTTCATTATTTTTTGTTTATACACACACACACACACACACACACACACACACACAGACACATTTCTAAATACCTGCTTAGCCTTTATAATGTTACTTATACGTATGA